AATTGTTTCTCACATCAAACGTAACAAATAATTCGAACAAATTTATAAAATGCTTCACACACTTTTTCCAAATCTCATTCATGCACTGAACAGTAACATTTTCCAAAGCAGTAATAAATATTTTAGTCCACTTATTGTCATATTGTTTCCAGCAAGAAAAGCTGAGAATCTATGTCAGTTGCTGCAATAATTTGGACAAATGTAGTTTACCTTAAATTTGCCATAGATAATTTGCCTTATATGCAACTCTGATCCATACACTGCATCAATGGTGTTGTATTTGAGGGCAAGAAAACAATATTTACATTGGAATTTAAATCTGTTTACAGCAAAAGATGTTCTCGTGCATTATCTAGGAGTAATAAAATTTTAAAATGAGCTCCTTTCTGCAGGCTTGTGGATTCTTTTGTTCTCGTGTTTGAGGGTGAAACAATTTAAAACCCATTCAGAAACAATTTAAAAACCAATGCTATGCTTTCGCACTACAGCGAAAATGAATTGGTAGTGCATTTTAAAATGCTCTAGAGTTTTTCAAATGATAAATTAGGAATGGCTTTAATTTAAAGCCAGCAATACTGCCACAGAGCAGAAAAGTATTCATCTTTATAAACTTTAAACCCTTGTACATGTTTTGCTTTTTTATGAAAGTAGGTTATAGCAGGCATGCATTTTCAAAACAAACCAGTTTCATCAACACTAAAAATTTCTTTGGGTTCATAATCACCATTAATAGTAATATTATCAAGTTCTACTTCAAATTTATGTACTCCTACTCTATTTGAACTAGCGGCCTCAACTTGTCATACAATTATGAAGTTGAAATCAATTACTGAAGAATTTGAATCAACTTGTACTAGCTATAAAATTAGCTTATTTTATTTACATAATTTATTTAAAACTTTAAAAGACCACCTTTTAAAGTTTTAAATAAATTATGTGCTTTTGTTTGAATACAAATCAATGATAATGGCACTTGTTTTTGCAGCTGTCATTCATTTGTGTATTTAATAATTTTTCCATTTCATGAATTAGTCCAGCTTGTCATTTAGTAATAACTGTCAATTCCATTGAAACAGAACATTTTAAAGTACTGGAAATACTTTCTTTGTCTTGATACTGTGGAATGAACTTAGCTTCAATTACATACAATCACAATAACTTATCCATTCTTTCATACTGTTTAATCACTTTCATTTTCATGCTTAAATTAATCATCTTTCTTTGTTGATTGCTAAGTGATGTTGGCTTTCTCTTTGGAGCCATTTCATAGATTTTCATATACATTCTCTTTTTTTTGTATTACAAATTACAAGAAGTTTTATAGACAAACGATATTTCTTTCCTTACGCTGAATATGTGGATATTTGCCTGTAATGAAAGATACTGCAGATATATTTCTGCAGGAATACAGCATTTTATTGCAAAACTGGGTACTGTTCTGCTATCAGGACTAAATCCAGAAATGTATGAATGTGTATACATATACACACATATACATTCATACTTACATATATACACGCATACATACATACATTTCTGAGCCCGGTCCTGATAATAGAATAATACCCAAAGCAGTTTAATAGAATCATTGTCTTGAATCTGTTCTTAAAGTGATTTCCCCAGGGAAAGAAACAAAAACCTGCTTGTAAATAAGTTTATGGATTCAATTTTGATATAACTATCTTATAAAACGTAAATTATATATGTAATACAGTCAAAAGTCGTTAATTCGGACACCCATAATCCGGACCTCAAAGCTAAAATCTTTCTGTGCATGCGCCGTGTTGACGCATGCGCATAGGCGTTTACATGTGCGCGCAAGACTTTTACGACTGCGCACATGAGTCTGCGCAAGCACAGAATACGTTTTCGCTTGTGCGTTTAATGTATAACGGATGGTATAAGCTAAAATTATCTAATTATCTATTTCAGTTAATGTTGATGATTGCGTTGTTCCTTAATCTTCGAATTTGATCCGGCTCATTATTTTTTGCAGACTGTAAGAGCAATTTTATAAAAGTAAGCTTGAACTTTCGATTATGTCAAATAGAATTTCTGATGCTGGAGCTCCCAAAGGATTTACAAAACGAAAGTATGTTTCGATCAAACAAAAAGTGGAATTGCTACAAAAAATGGATAAAGGCATATCCTTTGTTTATCTAACCGTTCCGAAATCTGTTTATCAATTTCACGCTGCTCTGCGCGGGGTGGGGGGACGTCGAGGGACGCAATGAACTGGAAGTTGATCTGTCAACACTATCGTTATCTTCAGGGCAGATGATTTTATTTTATTCGGCTTATAATTCTTTACTAAATGTTGTATTTCATCTCGATGTACTCCGTCTTTGATATGATTTAAATCAAATTCCTCGTCATTATAAATATCACGAATACAAATCAAATAGTTTTCTGTTGCAATTTCTAATTTCGGCTATGCGTAATGCATGCTTACCATGCGCGCGTTGAAGAAATGTTTAATAAAGTAAACAAATAAATATTAAGCTTTTTTTCTTTTTTGTACATTTTGATACCTTTAACTCATAATTGCTCTTATTTCTAATTATGGTTTCATATTTTTAATTTTATAATTTCTGCATGCCATCTTACCAGATTTAAACTGATTATCTATAATCCGGAATCGGCGAAGTCCCGACGAGTCTGGATTAAAGACTTTTGACTGTAATACGTATGCATGTTAGGATACAATAACACACCGAACAAATATTAACTTAGCAGCCAAACAACAAAAATCAGCATTTGAAAAAAATCAGCATCAGAATTTGAAAACATAACGCTGATTATTGTTGTTTGGCATCTAAGTTAATATGTATGCATGTATTTATGCTTATAATAGTTTTTACAATTATGTAATCATTCCTTTTCTTCAGTAAAAAATTGCCAACGTAGTTCCACTAACAGGTACATAGTGATTGAGATTAATTTACAAGTTTTAATTTTCATGTCTAACAAAGGCCTAAAATTGGTCATCAAAATTAGCAAACCACTGCTGGTGTAAGGAATATATTGTTTTCTGTGTTAACTAGAATTTAAGACAAATTTTTTTCGTATATCACGTTTAACCGGTTAATTTCAGTATATTAATACTAATTTATATTTTTTAAATGAATTTTTATTTCTGTTCCAAATGCTTATATATTGTCTTATGCTTAATAATATATTCTTTTCTGGCTAACTTGAATTTAATACAAATTTATTTTCGTATATCACGTTTAACCGGTTAGTTTTACATCTACATCCTTATTATCTGTGAATTTTTACTACCATATGCTTAATATATTGTTTTGTCTGCTAACTTCAATTTACATGCACTAAAAATCATGTTTACAAAATATCACATTTACGGCTCGGCTCATCGTCGATGAACCGCGAGCTTGGCGAGTAAAAATGCTACGGTGCCAACGGGTTCTTTCCCGAAGCACCAACGGGTTCTCTGCGGATGAAAACCCCTAAAATTTTATCAGTTCTTTGAAAATACCAAAGAACTTTTGATAGATTCGTATAAGTATCCGACATTTTTTTTTCACTAATGGCAAATCCTTAATTATATTTTATAATTATTAAAATCCTTGTACCTGAGACTTCCACACTGACTTTTCATTCTTTTTGTTTTAATCTCATGTTTCTTCTTTCTCAGTAGAATTCATACAAGAAATTAATATACAAAATTTTCATATTTTCTGTGTTAAAGAACACATTTTGCATACACTGCAAAAGATGCTTTAGTAATAATAAGCTTTTATTTATTTTTCTACAATTTTTCGATATTTTAATACTAATTCCCTTGATGTTTACATTCACATTCCGTTTCAAACAATAGAAATACATTATTTTGCCAATTTTATAAGTCATCCAAAAAATTCCTTACTGTGGATTAGAATACGAACATCTAATAAATATACTTATTCTGTAATAGTAAAGATAATTAAAGAAATGAACAACAAAAACAATTTTGTTATTAATTTGCAATTTTTTCAAATTATTACTGTGCTAACTCTCGACAGGTTACATATTTTCAAATGAAGAATTTAGTAAAATTACAAAAATTCTTAATTAAAAATACATACTTTTAATTTTTAAGACATGCATCATAAAATATTACAGTAAATTGCTGAATTCTGCGTGTGACAAAAGAGGAATACCAGTTCAGCTCTTTATAATTGTAACTTCATACAATAAGAAATGAGCTGCGCATTAAAATCTATGCATAATCACGAATGTAATGATCACAAATGTGACCTGCAGATAATCGCAAAAGTAACATTCGGGAGTCTATTGGCCTTATCTTGATGTAGCATCATAACTTGATAAGTGCAAGCTCCTTTTTAAAGTGTCGTGAAATGAACTTAATTTTAGATATTTGAATGAGAAGCGAATGTAAATTTATGTCCAGATGAAGATATCTTTATGATGTCATCAACGGTCCTTTCAGAATTTAAATATATGCATACATCTATTTTTTTTTTTTTTTTTAATAAAGAAAAAGATTAAAATTACGGCAAAATTAAGAAACTTTAGCGCATTTCATTTTGCATTTCCCGAATCTTTCTGTCCGCAGTGCAAAAACTGAAATCCAAAAGTTATAGAAAAAAGGAACGCTAGAAATGGAGTTAATTTCATTACAAAGTTTTATACAGATTTATGTTTCTTTCCATTCTTTCCTAAGAAGAAACATTACTTGGAAAGAATTTTAGTTGCTGGTGAAAGAAATAGGGCAAACAAAAGCTGAACTGGCAATATATCATTAAAATTTTCTGGCAATATAGTATTTTCTATTTACAAACATGATAAATGTCACGTGAATAGCTGTCAGAAACAGAATACTGAAGATCTTACCTTGAATGGAGTAATTTTGATCTTTAAATGACTAGAATTTGACTTTGAATTGAGTAATTTTGTTCTTTAAATGAATAGAATTTGAAAATCCGTACGATAATTTAAAAATATGAGTTTACGGAGCATATGTGTTTTAAGTATAGCTAAAGAGGATTGCGGAAAAGTGTTGCATTATAGGTTTGTAATGAAATAGCGATTAAAAAGTTGTTATTAAATCTTCAAATTGTCTTAATGTAATTAAAATGTATGCCTGCTTTTAGATTTGTTATTGAAGCTTTGTATTACTATTATATTATTAGATTAACCCCATTTCTTTTTTGTTTTCTTTTTTAAACACTTCTTAAGCATTGTGGTTTTAAGGTCTTGTGTATTTGTGTGTGATACTTTTATTTTTATGATATGAGTAACAAGAATACATACTTATTTTCCACAGGCCTATTCATATCAATTACAAGGTGAAACGTTATTAACAATTAGTGTTTACCAAAATTTCATTTTGAACTTGTTTGATATTTTTTGTTGTACAAATAAACATTGTTAGAGCAATGTTAAGAAATATACCCCTTTCAAAATTGTAATGAACTCGTGATTTCTATATTCTAATGTCAGTGATATATGTGTAGAAAGATTTGTCCATTGCTTTACATAACAGTTGAAATCTATTGTAATTATATTTGTAATAATAGTATCAGTATATAATTATAATTCAAAACTCTGCAAAATGTATTCCACTGAAGAATGAACTAATGATGAATGAACTTAACACGTATAAAATTTAGAGCAGCTTTGCAGTTAGAATATTTTTAGCAAGCCAAAAATATTAAAATTAATTATAAAACTAGTTGTATTTAGAAATAGTCACATAATGTATCTTTAGACTTTTGAGTCTAAACATTTAATGTCTGCTAATTTTTCAGTCATTTAAGAAGGAAAAATTTAAAGTCCCAGTTTTTAGGTTACTTAAAAAAATATTAGTAGTTTTAAAAGAAATATTAATAGTAAGTAACAATGATGCAAGATGACTTTAAATGAAGGATCCATTTTCTCACTCATAGTTTAAGAAAAAAGATAATATTAAAAAACTGCAATTATTTCTACCAATTTTATGTATCAAATCTATAAAAAATATCAGATTTTTCTTATTTCAAACAATTTACATTTTAAATTTGTGCATGTATTATGAGCTATTATACATACATCACATTTTTTTAAAAGAATTCACTTCCACATCCATGAAAGAAAAAAAAAAAAAAAAAATTGCCCTTAAACTTCCATGGTGGATTTTCTGAAAGAAAATATTTTGATTACATCCAAAAGTAAATGCCAATTACAAGGATTTGGGAATTATTAAAATTATGTCTTATAATGAAAAATACAGTTGTATCGCATTGGGAAATTTAACCTGTTATTGGGTTAGTGCATAATACAGTCAGAAGTCGTTAATCCGGACTCGTCGGGACTTCGGCGATTCCAGATTATCGATTTTTCCGGATTATAGATCATCAGTTTAAATCTGTTAAGATGGCATGCAGAATCTATAAAATTAAAAATATGAAACCGTAATTTACGAAATAAAGAAAATTATGATCTAAAGGGTATCAAAATTTACAAAAAAAAAAAAAAAAGGCTTAATATTTATTTGTTTACTTTATTAAACATTTCTTTCAATGTAAGTTGTTTAAGTTGCTTCGTTTTTTATGTGATAATACATTCTCTTTAATTCCATAAACAGACATAATTTCTTGTTCAGTTACAAAGTTCCGCTGTTCAAGTCCTATAATTGCTGTGTTGAGAATACCGACTAATTTGTCAATCGAAATTTTTTCGTTTTCAATAACCTCTGTCACTTTCTTTGCTATTGGAAGCGAATTATAATGACAAGGCATTTGATTTAAATCATATCAAAGATGGAGTACATCGAGAGGAAATACCACATTTAGTAAGCAATTATAAGCCAAATAAAATAAAAACATCTGCTCTTAAGATAAGGATAGTGTTGACAGATCAACTTCCAATTCATTGCGTTCCGCAGCGTTAAAGATAAAACAAAGTTTAGATAAACAAACGTTAAAGTTTAGATAAACAAAGGATATGCCTTTATCCATTTTTTGCAGCAATTCCACTTTTTGTTTAATGGACTTTCGCTTTGTATATCCTTTACATATTAGTAAATATATATCGGAAATTCTATTTGAAATAATCGAAAGTTCAAGCTTACTTTTATAAAATTGCTCGAACAGTCTGCAAAAAATAATAAGCCGGATCCAATTCGAAGATTAAGGAACAACGCAATCTGCAACATTAACTGAAATAGATAATTAGATAATTTTAGCTTAGCTTATCCTGTCCATTATACATTAAACGTGCATTCGTAAACGTATTTTGCGCACGTGCACACGCAAATTCGCAGCCGTAAAGGCCTTACGTGCATGCGTCAAAGCGACGCATGCGCAGAAAGTTTGTAGCTTTGAGGTCCCGATTGTAGATCATTCCGGATTACGGGTGTCCGAATTAATGACTTTTGACTGTATATGACTGCTGTTGTCAAATATTTTTGGTCCTATTGCATTACCTACCTAACTGTGACATGAGTAACCAGGCAAAAGGCTAGGCAACCCTAAATTTTACAATAATGTACTATATTTAACAACCCACTAATGGTTGCACATGCAATTTTAGAATTTGAGGCTTGTCTTTGGTTTGTGCTTGTATTGTAATAAGTGTGTGGAGTTTCCTTTTTTTTTTTTTTTTTTTTTATACCCTTCTTATAATGAAGCATAAAGCAACTATAGAGTTTGCCGGCTAATGAAAAAGAAAGTGTAATAAATAATGAAATTGCTGTGTAATTCATAATTTGTACTGTCTTATTTTTAATAATCTTTTTGTTAGAAAATATATTTATATATTTCTTATGTTTTATATATAAAGGACTTTTCCTACTGTCGAGAAACGATGTAAAATTCTACATGCAGATAAGTATATTCCTATTCCATCACCACAAGTATTTGTAAGCAGTTTGTTAGTCAAGCTGGGTTTGACACCTGATGCAAAACAGGTGGGTTTTTCATTCTTGCTTCTTTTTCTTAACATCTCTTTGCTTTGTGCTACAGTGTAGCATTTATTGTTATACAGTCAACTCCTGAATAACTGGAGTAATACCGGGGGCAACATTTATATTAAATTCACAGTTAATCCAAGGGCAGCTAGCTCAGGAAAGAGGAATAACCCATATTATATAAACAGAAAAACACTTTTAAAGTCTCTGTTTTCAAGCAGTTAAATCTGTAGAATAAGTTCATTTGGTTACACAAATAAAATCAGTATTCAAAATTCTCTCTCTTGAGGACATATGCAGTTCCTCTTTTTCTCTCTTCCTTTCAGAATACATATGTTGTTTGTTTTTGTTTACCTTTTGTTTTGTCTTAATTATACACATCGGGGTAGATGTTAGCAATGCTCCTCTATGGTAAGAAGATCCGTTCCTTTCATATAAGACAACAAAATTGTTCTATCGCAATATCTATATGAAGTATCCTGAAACAAAAGTGGTACTACAGTCAAAAGTCGTTAATCCGGACTCGTCGGGACTTCAGCGATTCCGGATTATAGATCATCAGTTTAAATCTGGTAAAATGGCATGCAGAAATTATAAAATTAAAAATATGAAACCGTAATTTACGAAATAAAGAACAATTATGATCTAAAGGGTATCAAAATTTACAAAAAAAAAAAAGCTTAATATTTATTTGTTTACTTTATTAAACATTTCTTTCAATGTAAGTTGTTTAAGTTGCTTCATTTTTGTGTGATAATACATTCTCTTTAATTCCATAAACAGACATAATTTCTTGTTCAGTTACAAAGTTCCGCTGTTCAAGTCCTATAATTGCTGTGTCGAGAATACCGACTAATTTGTCAATCGAAATTTTTTCGTTTTCAATAACCTCTGTCACTTTCTTTGCTATCGGGAGCGAATTATAATGACAAGGCATTTGATTTAAATCATATCAAAGACGGAGTACATCGAGAGGAAATACCGCATTTAGTAAGCAATTATAAGCCAAATAAAATAAAAACATCTGCCCTTAAGATAAGGATAGTGTTGACAGATCAACTTCCAATTCATTGCGTTCCGCGGCGTTAAAGATAAACAAAGTTTAGATAAACAAACGTTAAAGTTTAGATAAACAAAGGATATGCCTTTATCCATTTTTTGCAGCAATTCCACTTTTTGTTTAATGGACTCCGAAAGATACTTTCGCTTTGTAGATCCTCTACATATTAGTAAATATATATCGGAAATTCTATTTGAAATAATCGAAAGTTCAAGCTTACTTTTATAAAATTGCTCGAACAGTCTGCAAAAAATAATAAGCCGGATCCAATTCGAAGGTTAAGGAACAACGCAATCTGCAACATTAACTGAATTAGATAATTTTAGCTTAGCTTATCCCGTCCGTTATACATTAAACGCGCATTCGTAAACATATTTTGCGCATGCGCAAATTCGCAGCCGTAAAGACCTTACACGCATGCGTCAAAGCGACGCATGCGCAGAAAGTTTGTAGCTTTGAGGTCCGGATTATAGATCATTGCAGATTATGGGTGTCCGAATTAACGACTTTTGACTGTATTCCATTTTGAAGATTGTAAAAAAATTGCAGCGGAAATGTATGTGCAAAAGTGCCAAATCTAGCAAACACTCCCATCAGTTTCACGCTGACATTTATTTTTGATGCCAATTTTTTTTTTTTTTAATCCAATGGCCAGCACTTGCCTATTCTGCATTGGCCGCTCCTAAAGCCAGAAATTGTGGCCATTTCATTGCGAAGGCTCCTAACAAGTGACCATCACTGCCTCCTATGAAGGAACGAACAGTTACAACCATGCTTTCTCTGGAATTTGAACCCGGGCCCTTGGGTACCACAGTAGGCTCCTCTAACCACTAAAGGTATGGTGGTATATATGGAAAGGCAATAGCTTCTCGAGTTTGATGCCAGATAGTTGACCATTAATCAGGAAGTGACAAACTTAGTAAGCCAAAACTGTCAAAAACTAAGTTGACCAGTAAAATGTTCCCTAAATTATTCAGATTCAGAGGAAAGCCTAAAAAATAATAAATATTCCTTATCACAAATTGAGGATATCATAGATGAAGACATTGTTCTGATTCAAAAATTCAGTTCATAAGGCAAATCCTTCTCTTAATAATGTCTAAATGTATCATTTTAACTTTATAACTTTAAAAGATACAATTTCAGACCTTGAAATCACCGAAGTAAATTTAAAAGAAAATTTGAAAATATGTCTATTCTCAATAAAATGTTACCTTGTGATGATCAGGATATAGTATTTCATTCTTAATGAATTACAAAGCAAACATCTTAACAGAGTTCTCAATAAAATTAAATACCACTGTTAGCATTTTGCATGAAGATGAAGAAATTATGCAGTGTGTTTTTTCATGTGTTTGTAAGTAGTGTATGTTTCTCTAATTGTAATAATTAATTTTTTTCCTTGTTTTTATTAAATTTTTGTATGAGAATAATACAATTTTGTTTTTTGCATTTGTAAAAAATTGCATGTTTTCATGTGCTTTTTTTTGCATTTGCAATTATTCACAAATTTATTTATTAATAACTAAAAAGGGAAATATATGTTTCATTAATAAATTATGAAGTTATTTGTTTAGTGTATGATTTCAATTTCTCTTAATATTTTTAACTACATATTGAATAAACTTAACTGTACAGCCAACCTGTTGGCTTGATAGGAGAGGAATTGTCTGTCATAGGCTTGGGCTTATGTTTGAATTCCTGAGAAGGCATGGTTGTTTTTAAATATGTGGTGCCTTTGCATCATGAGAGGATTTAAAACACTGTTGAGCCAAAAGTCCTCTTGAACAAATGTAATGTGAGAAGAAAGGTTGCAGACCCTTTAATCTATATCCCCAAATGTTCTCCATCAAAATTAAGATCAAACATCCTCTTTCTCATGAGTTTAATTCAACTGCCCTCATGCAGTGCATCTTGGACAATGTTCTCAGTGAGGAGACTGCTAAACAGCTGCCCATTCCCAAAAAATGCATCAAAATAAAGTGTCCTGCCATTAAAAACAGCAAACTTATCTTATGAAAATACGTCAAAGCATGATCAGTTCAGTATTTATTGTATATCAGTTTGATAATTATAATTTTTTGTTAATGTTTCATATTTGTACCCAAACCTACAAGGGTAGCTCTGTAATGGTATCCCATCATAAAGATACCAATACCTTGATGGTGGGACACCTATATGAAAGTATCCCATTCTGCTTACCTGAAAAAAAAAAAAAAAAAAAAAAAAAAAAGTCTCCCTGTGTAATAATTACAGTGGTAAAAAATCTTAATTTTAAATTTACAAATTTTGTCTTTGTTTTTTAATTTCCAAGTTTGTATGCATTATTATTATTAGTAGTAGTAGTAATATGGTGGTAATATTTATAAATAACTAAATAAGTTATTTTTTATTATTTTATAGTTTGTAGAAAGAAGAGATAAATGCTGGGGAACTATGCAGTTACCTGTTATTGAAATCCATACTGGGAAACATGAAATATGGCCTGTTGTTGCTGTTGCTCAGGTTAGCCTTGAAAAATGAATTAGTGTTTAAAGTTCATTTTATGTAATTTTTAACTTGTTGTTTTGGACTGTAGCTACGAAACAATGAAACTATTTTTCTTTTAAATCCATCTTTTATTCTATTCGAAAATTAACCACTCAATTAGCAGCCATTCAAAAACCAAAGCAACAAAATTCTCATCAAACTAGATAATAAAAAGGAATTACAAAAAACAAATGATAATGATGCATGCACGTTACAAGATTCGTTGCTAGGCAACTAAGTTAGAGGCAAAAGGTTTCCTATAGCAGACATTCAGGCGCCAACATCCCGCCCGGCATTGAAATACTAATTTCAAAACTAATATAAATTATTTAAGAAATTCAAAGTTTGATACATATATCAGTTAGAACCAATTAAATGCAATAATATATCTATTAAACAAATAACAAACAAATTACAACATTTTACAATAAAATAGATATGCAATATTAATACAAGTAATTATATAATTATAATATAAATTCACTGCATCAATCATTCATAGGTAGAATACATAAGTTTGATAGTCCATGTTTTATCATCTTTTTCAAATCGGCGTTGGCTGGAACAAAGTTAGTAGCGTTTAGCATTATCCGAATATATAGTTGAGCTAAGGCCACATCGCATGAAAAATCTTTTAATGTTGCAATTACAGCCTGCGATGTTAGATCTGTAACAAAATCGAGATTTATCGCTCAAGTAACTAAACATATAAAAATAACAACATATATATTATTTAAGGTACATCTTTGATAATTTTTATGTAAAAGGGTCCGCATAAATTAATTCCAGTTATGGAAAAAGGAGGACTCGCAGAAACTCTTTCCTTCGGCAGTGGTGCCATAAGTTGTTGGGCTATTTTAGGTTTATTTTTAAAACAGATAATGCAGTTATGTAGTATTTTACGAGCAGTATTTCTACCGTTTAGTGGCCGAAATTCCTGTCGAACACAATGAAGCAAAGTCTGAGCACCAACATGTAGTATTGCATAATTATAGTAGTTAAGTTATGATCCCTAGGCAGCAGAATAGGATGCTTTTGGTAACAGGATAAAGATGATTTATTTAATCTGCCACCTACCCTAAGTATTCCAAATTTCGTCGACGAAAGGATTTAAATTACTTAAGTTACTATCCTTTATAATTTTACCATATCTAAGGGCTTCAATTTCTTCCTTGAATACTATACGGTGTACTAGCCTTACCATTGCTAGCTTGGCATACGTAAATTCATGTCTAGTAATAGGACCTGATGACCTCTTACCTTGTCGACAGTTGGAAATAAACCTATAAATAAAACTAAGAATACGAATTAGTTTAACAAAAGTATTACTTAAAGAAAGAAAATAGTTAATGAAATCAGCACGAGAAGTAATACTAAGAGGAATTTCTGGAGATTTTTTCAATTAACATTTGTAAAGTTCATGGTCCTTAATATCCAAACTAGCCTTTTCTATAACATTCATGTCAAGATTAGAAGGTCCATTGAACCATAATTCTGAAAATAAAAGTTCACTAGGTTCGACTCCACAAGAAACCAAATCAGCAGGATTCTCCTTAGAACGGATATGTTTCCACTCGAAGTTTTCTGATAACAATGAATTTTCGCAGCACGATTCCCAACAAAAGTTTTGAGTTGTTGTGGTGAAGCGCTTATCCATGCTAGTGCTGTTATCGAATCCAAATATAATGTTACCTTTTCAATGTCTATATTTAGCGAAGTCAGAACTTTTTTAACAAGCTTAGCAAGTAGAAAACAGGCCGAGAGTTCTAAGCGTGGTAAAGATAGAGTCCTTAAAGGGGCTACTCGAGATCTGCTTGCCAGTAACTTTAAACAAGGTTTATCTTGAGTGGCATTTAGGTAGACCACTGCTCCATATGCAGATGTTGAAGCATTGGAGAAACCTACGATAGCCCTTTTATCGGTTGTAGAATGCAGAGCATATCTTACTATCTTAAGATTTTCCAATTCCTTTAAAATGAAACGATTCCATTCACTGACCAAATGGTTCAGGTAATTCACCATCCCAGTTCAGTTTTAAAGGCCATAGTTTCTGAAGGAATATTTTTGCTTTACAGATGACTGGCCCGATAAAGCCAATAGGATCATATAACTGCACAATGACTGAAAGGACATCTCTTTTTGTAAAAAATGATTTGCCTTAGAAAGCGACTTTAAAAGTAAAAATGTCAGATTCCAGCTACCAAATTATGCCAAGAGTTTTCATAAATTCAGTGGAATCAAAGTGAAACTCTTCCTTAGATACTAAAGTGTCTAATACTTTCTTAGAGTTAGAGTGCCATTTGTGTAAAGACATTCCACAGCTTTCAAATATCTTTATTAGTTGATTCTTTAATTCAATAGCAGACTCAAAATCAGAGGCTGCTGTAACTATGTCGTCTATATAGACATCAGAAAGAATCACTTCAGAAGCTAAAGGGTATTTCTGTTATTCATCCAAAGCTAACTGTTTTAGAGTTCTTATAGCTAGAAATGGAGCACATTTAGTCCCATATGTTACAGTGTTCAATCTAAAAATAATAGGTGAATCGTCTTCATGCTCTTTCCATAAGATATGTAGAAGATTCCTTTGCAATGAATCGATTAAAATCTGTCTAAACATTTGTTTAATGTCTGCGATCAGTGCTATTTTATGTTTATGAAATCGGACAATTAAATCAAAAATATCTTCTTTAACCTCTCCTGAGAGTAAAATGCTGTTCAGACTCAATCCTGTAGTAGGAGGAGCTGATGCATTAAACACAATGCACAATTTCATAGATGATTTTTCAGGTTTGTAAATTTCATGGTGAGAAAGGTAGAAAGTAATGGGTGAAGGATTTTCTTCTTCAACCCTTTCAATGTGATTTAAGCTTTCGTAATCATTGATAAAATTGGTATGAAACCTTTTTTGGTCTGGGTTTTTATTTAACCTTTTAATCATCTGATTAAGACGTTTATTAGCAATATTTCTTGAATCACCTAATTGATGTAGTACTTCTTCTCAAATAGGCATCTGTACTATGAAACACCCACTCTTATTTCTCCTATGTGTCTTCTGACAATGCAATTCGCAAAAATCCTCTTCTTCGCTTCTAAGGGGTTCTTTGGCTATTTTTTTTTATTTGCCAAAATTTCTGTACACATACTTCTAGACTTTCCGACTGGGAGATTAGTCCACAATATTGATGTTAATTTTCATTTTCAACAAATCCACTAGCAATAAATCTGAAGATTGAATCTTGAAAAATAAAGTACTAGATAATCAAATTTTTCGCTCCTTCACTCAATCCTAGATCATCAGTTTAAATCTGGTAAGATGGCATGCAGAAATCATAAAATTAAAAATTTGAAACTGTAATTTATGAAATAAAGAGCAATTATGATCTAAAGGGTATCAAAATTTACAAAAAAAAAAGTTTAATATTTATTTTTTTACTTTATTAAACATTTCTTTCAACGTGTGCATGCATAAAGCATACATTATGCATAGTCAAAATTATAAAATTGCAACCAAAACACTATTTGATGTATATTCGTGATATTTATAATAATGAGGAATTTGATTTAAATCATATGAAAGCCGGAGTACATCAAGACGAATACTACATTTAGTAAGGAATTATAAGCCAAATAAAATAAAAACATCTGCCCTGAAGATAAGGATAGTGCTAACAGATCAACTTCCAGTTCGTTGCACGTCACGACGTCCCCCCCCCTCCGCAGAGCAGCGTGAAATTGATAAACAGATTTCGGAATGGTTAGAGAAACAAAGGATATGCCTTTATCCATTTTTGGAAGTAATTCCACTTTTTGTTTGATGGACATCGAAAGATGCTTTCGCTATGTAGATTCTTTGGCAGCTCCAGAATCGGAAATTCTTTTTGACATAATCGAAAGTTCAAGCTTTCTTTTATAAAATTGCTCTAACAGTCTGCAAAAAATAACAAGCTGGATCCAATTTGAAGAATAAGGAACAACGCAATCTGTGACATTAACTGAAATAGATAATTTTAGCTTAGCTCATACCATCCGTTATACATTAAACGTGCATGCATAAACGTATTATGTGCATGTGTAAAGGTATTATGCGCATGCGTAAAAGCATTTGCGTTTACATATGCGCAGAAAGTTTGTAGCTTTGAGGTCCGGCTTATAGATCATTCCGGATTATGGACGTCTGGATTAAGGACTTTTGACTGTACTTCCTAAATGACTGAATTTGGGGATACCCTTTAGATTAATGTTTCATTTATGGTAACTCGAGTATTTTTATGGTGTACGTTTTGGAAACTCTATCATGACATGATTGGTTGTAATGCATGATGGCATTGATTTTGATTGTTTGAAGAACATTTCTCAGGGCTTATTTCTGCATTAGAAGTTGGTCAGGAAGTATGGTGCTACTATTTTGTGCTTTACATGGTAAAATGGCTGCCGTTAGTAAACTGGAAGTTTGGTGGTATAGAGCGAGGGAGCAGAAGGTGTTTTTTTTTAGTGGTTGAGGACAGAAGAAAAGAAACTTTGTTGGATGTAATTCAATGGAATATCTTACCTGGAACAACGATCATATCTGATTGCTGGAAGTTGTACAATTGTCTTTCTGATAATGGCTTCATTCACCTCTCAGTAAATCATGCAGTGACATTTAAGGATGCAGAAACCAGAACACATATCAACACTATCAAAGGTATGTGGGGTATAATATAAAGGGATTTTCCAAAGAAATGCCACCAACAGTCTAGTTCTCTAACAGTCTGCAAAAAATAATAAGCCGGGTCCAATTAGAAGATTAAAGAACAACGGAATCTGCAATATTAACTGAAATAGATAATTAGATAATTTTAACTTAGCTTATACCGTCCATTGTACATTAAACGTGCATGCGTAAAGCTATTATTGCACGTGCGTAAACGCATGCACAGAAAATTTGTAGCTTTGAGGTCCATATTATATATCATTCCGGAATATGGACGTCCGGATTAAAGACTTTTGAATGTATTTGATACCACACAAAGAAGCGAACTGCGAGGTCATAAAATGCGATTCACATGCACTGTCCAATATCGCTCTGCCGCTAATATAATCACTCCGAATCGGTGACCAAACCTTAACCTTGGCTGTAGAAAGCAAAACTGTTTTGTTTGACATTTAATTTATAAAGATGCAAAAGTCTTTACCTCTTCAGTTAAGTTTGAATTTTTTATTACATCGGGCGAACTAGGGTTCGTTTTGCTTTGCATATTATGAGCATCTGCAGTCTCTGAAATGGGAAGATTTTCCGACTGCAAACTTGGCGAAGTTTTTTCACGCAAGGAATTTTTAGTTTCAGACCTACACAATAGATAAATGTGCTTTCCTTGGCATAAAAAGACAAGAATACTTGGATTTGCATGATGTAAGCTTATGTTTGTCACTTAAACAGTTTATACAAAGTGCATGTTTTTTAGCAATATTAAATCTTTGCAATGGAGTCATTTTTAAAAATAAAGAACAACTATATACTAAATGTGACATTTTACACAATATGCAGGAATTGCTGTTCGACTTTAACAGGAAATTTCTGGTTTTATTTGTATAAGATGTTTTAGTTTCTAGTGACGGTAATTGAACTCCATGTAAATTTTCTAACATTTGGGATCGTTTTTCTAAATATTCCATGAACCTTCCAAATTTGGGTAATTCAGTCGATGTTAAACTCATACTGTTTTCTTGTTTGTTTATCTAACTTTTGAATGACAATATTTATAAGGAATTGATGTGTTAGTTCATTAGCTTCTAATTTCATTAAGTTTAAACCTCTTAGGTTTTTGTTCAAAACATCAACTAGATTTCTAAGACTCTTATAAAATACAACATTGATTTTCTCAAAATTAAAAATATTCATAATATGAGAATTAACAAGCAACCGTTTATTTTCATATCTATCAATTAAAACCTCAAATAAAGACTGAAAACTGTCTTCTGGAGTTTCTACAACTTTTGCGTCTCCTTTTAATGCAGAACGCAAATAGAACAATTTTCGAATATCATTTAAAGAGGAGTTATTTGTAATCAAACTATCAAATTGTTTTTTTAAATTACTCTAGTTCCCAATACAACCGTCAAATTCTGGTAAGCTTAAATCAGGTAACTTGATAGAGATAGACTTAGGATCCTTAATATTATTCGTTAAAGATTTATCAACTAAATCTAAATTTAATAATAATGTTTGTGAGCTTACCTTTATTTCTTCTAAACGGTCTTCCATTTCTTCAAATTCAAAATCCATACTCGATAAATTTTCATCATCAATGACATCATAATATTCCAGTTGCAATGATTCGATCTGAGATAACGTGTCTGAAACCATATCCAGTTTGATTTGAAGGCGCATCTTGTCAGCATTCAAATTTGAATCTTTCAAAAAAGTTCCCAATTTCGTAATAATAACAATACTGTAGAATTATCTCTACTAATCAGTTCATCATCTGCGTTAGCCATTTTCGTTTTTAATATACAATCAAACTAAAGTTTTTATTTTTTTTAACGTTCAAAACAACAATTTATTTACCCAATTCCACTCCGGCTCGAAGGACCACTGTTTTGGACTGTAGCTACGAAATAACGAAACTAATTTCTTTTAAATTCATCTTTTATTCTATTCAAAAATTGACTGCTCAATTAGCAGCCATTCAAAAACCGAAGCAACAAAATTATCATCGAACAAGCTAATAAAAAGGAATTACAAAAAACAAACAATATTGACGCATGCACATTACAAGATTCGTTGCTTGGCAACTAATTTAGAGGCGAAAGGTTTCGTATAGCAGACATTCAGGCGCCAACACTTGTGTTGCCAATTGATCTTTATGAAATAGAAACAAATAGAAAATTGATATAATTTAAATAAAAATTATAAATGTTTTAATGCTATATTATCAGCCCCATGCCCAAGCTGTAAATCCACAAGATCATTTGGACAAAAAGGTTTAAAAGATCTTTTTTAAATCATGCATTTAGTTTAGTGGGGAAACAAATTATAACTATTCTGTGACATAGATCTTTCTTGATCATAAGTGTCATAAAATGTATCAATGAATTCAAAAAATCTGAAAACTAATAATAAATAATCAAAAAATTAATTACAAAGAAATGGCATAACGGTGAAAACTAATTTTTTTTTAAAAAAAGATAAAATAACTATCAAAAAAGAAACATTTTATTTGATAATTATTATTTGTTGCTGTTGTGGATCAAAATTTTTTACTGAAAATTTAAAGTTGAATTTCTTTGTAGATTCTTCAGATTTTTATATTGGTGAAATTTGATATTTTATCTCCCTTTTATCATTAGTATAAAAACTTAATTATTGAATTTAGTAGTTTTTTCACCACTAAATTATTTTTCAATCTCTTGTATTTATAATTTTTTTATAAGAAAAAATATCTTTGTTGTAACTGGTATGTTACAAATACATATTTTATGTTATTGTTGTGCTCTGTCATAATGAAATATAGTAATGATCTAAAGAAATATTTTCTACAATCCTAAGAGGTATTTCCATGAGATACTGGAAATTGCATGAAACAACTTCTAGAATTTTAAAACCACAAAAAGAATAATGTTGTAGAATTGATGATCATTGATTTTTAACTTATAGATTATTAGCCTTTCTTATTTGTTTCAAATCCTTCAATTATTTTCTATTTAAACAAGTAAAAGAAAATGCTATTTATCTTGAAATATTTTTAAAGATCATCTCAAATGTCATCTAACTCATCAAAATAGCATTTTGGTCAAGTATTTTATTTTAACTGATTTATATATACAAGTATTTGTGTATGAAAAAATTATTTCATATATGAAATATTTTTAATTAAAAAATTAACTTAAAATATATTTTAATTTATTTTTTTATTTATTTCAGAATTCTTTTCTTGTTTGTTGCTTACCATTAGTTGAAAAAGTGATAGAAAGAAAGGGAAATCTTTTACAAATGTAAGAATACTTTTCCTTTCATTTTCTTTTTTTAAAAAGGTGTATTAACTAAGATTGTCACCACATGTATCTGTGTGTATCTTGGTAAAGAAAGGACCAGTGTGCAAAATGTTCAAATTAAAGATTTTTGCATGAATCACATCAAAATCATGAATTTCATCACAAAAAGTCTGTTGTCCTTTCACTGTTATACTTAAAATTAGACACATTCTTACATGACCAGAAGAATATGTGTATTAAAATAATAAATAGCTACAAGGAATCTGTCAGTGTCATATGTTGTCATGGTAGATAAGAGAAAAGATGGATAATAGAAAATCCTTTTGCAACTAACTTACTGTTGCTTTTTGATGTTCGTGTTTATTTCGTGTTGGTTTCATTCTGTCCATTGGATTTTCTGAGTGCTGATGGATAGACGAAGGAGGTTGAAAAAATGTTAAATAATCAAGTTTTCATTTCATGTTTTTTCAAACGAAGAAAATTACTGTAAAAGCTTGACTATCCAAAACACTTGGGAAATGGCTGAATTCTGGTTTCCGGATAGCTGAGTTTATACAAAGTGCAGTTCATGCTAGAAAAGTCATGGAATAGAGAATGAAATTTCTGATCTAAAATTATAAAAACAGCCATCTTATTTAGTATCAGCTTGAATATCAAAAGCCTATATTTAGAATTATGTAAGATTCCGAACAAAAAACTGCATTTCGTGCATAAAATCTTATTTATTTTGTGTACCTTCAAAATATGAAATTAAAACATCTTGTCTGATTATAAAATGTCATCAACCATGAAAATTGGCAGGGATTTCACCAAACTTGTGCCAATCAGTCCGGTAGAACCTTAAAAGAAAAAGATTCATTCCTTTTTAATTAGAATCGTGATTCAAGTTATGGATATAGCATATAAAAAACTTAAATCACATATCATAATTTTGCATATTACAGCACCATTAGTTAGGTTATGAGATGTGAAAAATGAGCAATGCCCTCTCTGGGACTTGAACCTGAACCTCTCGAATATGTGCCAAGTGTGTTACCATTACACCACAAAGGCATGCTGGAAGGAGGAAGAAAATATCTTATACATTATGTATTCATTTTCAAATAAAGTCACATGTCATGGCCATTAAAACACATTTTTATTATCACCCATAACTTTGAAAGTACTCCATGCTGTTCTGCAGAAAAAAAGATCCCAAAATTTAACTATTTTTTCAAACTGCAAGCAGAAAACTGATAAATACCATAGTTAACTTACACCATCTTTTTAAAAACAAAAGCAGCTTATTGAGAATTAATACAGTTTACATAGAACTAAAGTGAAAATCTTATGATTATGCTGTGACATTATGCTAAATCACAATATATGGCTACAATTTTTGTATATCAAAAATTGTCTACAGGAAAGCATGTTAAATATCAAATTTTTAAATAATTATTAGACTTGCCCAAAATGTATTTAACCCTTTTGAGATGGTGAATGTTTGTTTAAGACTTTCCCTCGAGATGAATGAGAGTTGAAAGGATTTCTCATAAGTCCAGGGTATTGCATCTCTAAACTTAATTTTAGGAAAAAAATCACAGAAAAAAACTTTTTAAGTCCTAGCATTATAATTTTTGGTACCATTTTAGGTTGTTACTTAAACTATCATATATGTCAAAATTAGCATTTAATAATCTTTTCCTTTACATGAAAATATATAAACAAAGAATTGCTTACTTTGAGTAATAATTTTCAGAAGTGCTCTTCAAATTATTCCAAAATTTTAATTGGACAGTAATAAACTTTAAAATTAATAAAACTACAAGAAAGACTGTTTACAAGAGTAAGTAACAAAATCTACAGGAAATGGAAGGCAGGCACTCAATGAGCTAGCTGCCTCTGACAAAATGTCCGTATCAGAATCACTAGAAATATCATTCTCTGACTTTTTAACTCATTCTTAGAAAATGAATCATTGCTCTTGTCCTTATCACTAATTGGCTCATTTACCATGCAAGAATATCTTTCGCCTGATAAATAGCATTTTCTCATCATAATAAACTGGAGTCAAGGCTTTCTGCAATAAAAAGGGAAGTACACAATATGTAGTCAAAAGAAGACAAAGCATTACAGAACCTCACATAGTAACCCTAAAAGATCCTACATAGTGGTGAAAAAATGAATAAATAAAAAAAAAGATTTAGAGGAATATTAGAAAAGTGAATGTTGTTATATAACCTGTGACAAGTTAAAGAGCTAAGATCTGTTTGTTTTTATGCTTTCTCTCTTCTGCACAGCAGATGCCAAAGTCAGATATAGTAATGTGTTCATGCTGAAGGTTAGAATCCTAAAACTATATTCTGTTTAAAAGTAATAAACACAGGATGCCATCTAGTGATCTTTAAAAAATGTTTCATCTTAAAATGCACAAATGCATCACCTACCCGCTAAACTCATTCTCCAGAGACGTTTGCAGGGAATGCATATATCAAACACCTGTCCAGAAAGAGTTAACAGAGCTGAGAAGGAAAAAGTAAATAAAATTCTTAAATCTTTAATAAATTGACATTGGTGCAATCCACATTCAGTTGAAAAACTTGTGAATGTTTGCCTGTTTCAGTTGAAAGTTTCTCCCCCCCCTTCCCAAAATCCATCTGAAAATTTGCAATCTTTCCCATCATTTATCTTTTTGGAAAAATCTTTTGCTTTTCGAATAAGCATTGGGCAAGAAGTAAATTCTTCATTTCATTTCTGTATAAACCACTCATACAGCAATTTAACTAAATTTCCACGTTGAGACTGTTGCAAAGTGTTTCTTTCATCAGAAACTACTTTCAGCACAGAAGGCAAATTTCATTAATTTTTTTCACTTAATGTCATAAATTGGAGATAATTAGTGCTAAAGTCTCTCATTAAATTTTGCATGTTTTCTCCATTTTCAAGGCAATTACTTATTTCTAATTTCTGAGTATTTATTAAAGCAAGATACTTTTGTTTTTTACATGCTAAAGAATCTTCTATTTTGGGAAGTTAATTTCTGACAAAAATTTCGAGTTAGTAGATGGATAATTAAGCAAAATATGTACCAGATTACTTTGCTATGTCACCAAAAGACCTGTAAAACATCTAAACAATTACCATTTGTATACGTGTTGGTAAAAGAGGTGAAAGCAATTACAGTATAATGGATACAACAATTGGGGGGGATGGAGAGATGTAAGCAACATCTTCTGAAATAGAGGTGTGTAGTTCTATTGACATTTAAGAAGTTATCACTAGAGACCTCTTTGTGCTTTATAATGGCTAAAAATCTCTTATTTGTTTAATTTTTCTGAAAGAATGTTTAAAAAGTACTGGAATTAAAAAATTTTCTCACTATTTGAGCTTTTTAGTTAGTTTAATACTGGATTACAGGGTTCTTACTGTAATCAAACTTGAAGGATTTTCTCTTAAATGTACAGATAAAATTGAAAAACTTGTTAAAGCTAAAACAATTGTTTCTCAAATTTCACAAGTTTCACAATCTTATGATCACTGTTTTGTAACATGGTATAAATAAAGGTCTTAAGATTTGTTCTCATTTTGTGTGTATCATCTTGAATACATTAGCTTTACAAGCATCAGATCCTGATTGAATTTTAAAGGCCTTTGGTACTCAAGTATTTCTTTCTAGTTTTGAATTAAATCTCAGTGTAACTTTCAAAGAAATGGGTAATTTAGAATCATCTAATTTCTTCACAAAAATGTCATGAACTCATTGGTGACTTTGAAGAGCATTTGTGAATTTGTTAGTGACTATTTTTTCATGCTCAAAAGGCAACAGTAAATTTTTTCAGTTACAATTTTCTGACTAGAGCAATCAATCAATAAAATTTAAAAAGCAAGAAACATCGCTAATAAAACGCTAAACCTTTTTCAAGAAAATCTACTGTTTTGTACTGTTAACAGTTATTAGAATCATCCCTTGAACATCATAGAATCCAATTTGTGAATCAATAGCAGATTGATTAAATCTGAAAGCTATGTTTTCCTGAAAGACACTTGAGAAATAGTCTAGGTGCAATAAAGTATATCTTGCTGGCACATTAATTTTTTTAATAAACCTACTTTACCTTATAATGTCACATACACAATAACTGACATATTTGTACACTGCAGTTGGATGTTAAAGGATCTGTATTTCAAGGTTTTTATTCAAGTAATGTACATGGAAATTCAAGTAAAATAACATACTGGAAAGGTACATTGGAAATAATATTATCTTGTGCACAGTAAAACAATACTCACTAAGGTCTGCTTTGAGATTTCTTTATTTTTTCCTCCTCTTTCAGTTTTCAACGCATGTTACAAAAACAAGGTTTTACGGTTTATATGATAACAAATTTACATAACTAATTTAAACATTAAAACATTGCTTACGAACAAATTACAGATTACTGTATAAAGTGAGAGAAATAAAGATTTCAGAACATAATTCTTAAAATAAAGAAGTATTAAATAAAGTGTTTGTTAAAATATTAGAATCGTATACTATTTCTTTCATGTTTCCTGAGCATTCTAATACTATTCTCATAAAAGAAGCTTGGAATCTCTTTATTATTGAATTAATGTGAAAATTTAATTAGCTTAGTTATAATATGCACTTGAAAATGCAGTGTCTCTGAATATATATATTTTTTTTTCATCACCATGCAACTACTAATTACTATGTAAATTGAGAGGAATAATGTAATATTTTTAAAATACAAAAGTTGCCTTTCATGGATAAGCACATTTTAATATATTTAGAAATTCAAATCATTCCAATAGAGATTTGGTAATTGTGTATTACCCACCAATACTTTTGTCAGAAATAGCAATTCTTATTCAGATTCTGAAGAACATTCATCAACCATAGAAGATCCCAGATTCTTTCAGAAATATACAGCTTTCTTTTGGGGGGTGGGGAGGAGAAGAATGGGTCAAAAAAAGTAGGGTGTTTTCTACTATCTATTTATTTATTTACTTTAATGTCAGACCAATTATAACAAGTGCATATTGCATTGCTTGTATTTTTAATGACTTCTCTGTGGAAAATCCTCAGAACAGTGTTTATTCATCTTGTGTTAATTTTTACTGTAATTTGCATCATGTGTTCAGTAGATTTGATGATAAATGAAGCACAAGCAATTCATTATTTCCAGGTGTGTGCCAACAAATTGCAATTATTCCAGTTTTCACAGAGTGCATGTGATGAAAGATGTGCATTGGAAATGTAATGTCAGCAATGGCCAACAAAGTATTTGAATGATAATTGAGAACTGGTTTGAAAGAAATCACACACCTTATTTTTTTAGTTGAGTTTGTAAGGAATAAAAAAACACTAAGGAAGAGAATAACAATGTGATGTGATTTCAAATACATTTGCTAAGCTGGGGGGAAAGATGTTTTAGTACTTTGGTCATGTTAACAAAGAAGGGGCTAACTTTGGTGGTAATTTGTTGCAATAAGTTTTTATTTATTTTGGGTGGAAAATTTTTGACAGTCCTTCCTGAAATAGCTTTGAAGGGTTTTCACCCAGAGGCTACAGCTGTCTGCTGCCACATGAACTCCACTACATATGACTTCAAATGGTATCTTGCTGTAACCTATGTGTCTTGTTCTGCCATTTTGAAGAACTGTATACTCACTCGATATTTTGCATATGTGGAATGTAGATCCAGAATGTGCAGATTAGAACACTGAGAGTTACTCAGCAATATATTATGACCTTCATTGCTTGATAGATACCCTAGATCCATGATCAAACTATAAACTCTAGGGAGAAAACTCTGTTCTTAAAACTGCATTTTGTAGGCATTCTTAAAGCTTAATAATGTCATAGGGGTCACAAAAGTAATTAGTATTTCTCATACAATTATTTTCTTGTTTCTAAAATTTTATATTTTAATGTAAAGATATCAATATTTAAAAAATATTATTACATGAATTTGTATCGCTACTTCAGATAAGTTTTTATAAACTGTTATCTTATGTATTTACATTTTATTTATCTCCACTGGTTCATTTTAATTATTTTCGTGTAGACCATCTGTATCGGTTGGATTTTCTGTGATATTAGGAATTTTAAATTTCATAAACAGTGCTCCAAATGCTGAGGTAGGTATATTTCTAATTACACATTTATTTCTTTTTGAAATTTGATTTTATATTGCTTATTGTATTAAAATAAAATGTATTTTCAGAAAATTTTTATGTTGTTGTGAACTATGTAAAATTTGTTTTAGTTATTAGTTTTTATAGTTTAATAGCAGTTAGCTATTTTCTTAAAGTTTTTTCAATTATTTCTAAAATTAAGAATGATATTTATAAATGATAGTGATAGTCTCTGTTTTTGTCACAATTTTTTATTAAATGTAACAAAAGTCAATTAACTTATGTAATCAGTTACAGAGGGGACATTTTTTATGAATCCAGAACATAAAAATTATGCATGCTTATGAGCTATTTCCCTGACTTTTGAAAGGAAGTTTTACATTTCTTTTAATATTATCCTATGAAAAATATTAAAAGAAACTGAACAAACTTTCAACTTTATGAACTGGTGGCTCATATGAAAACTTAGTCCATAAAAATTTGAAAAATTAGTCTGTATTTTATTTATGTATAAGAATTTCTAAACCTAAATTTAATTTAGTTTGTGCTCTTTTTCCTTTTACAGCATAAGATTTCACGTTTCATGGAGCTGGATAATTTTTTAACTTTGAATATGCCTTTTGGAACTCCATCTGATGTTGACTTATCTTCTGCATCATACATATACAATTTTCAATCTCCACAGTATCTGAAAAAGGTGATAAAATTTTTTTATATATATGAGCTGCTTGAAAATTATTAATAAAATAGCTGTTGTTTGGACAACCATTTAATTGTTATTAAGCATTTTAAGGTATTCACATTTGTAAAAAATTGTTATTTTTCACAATAAAAGATGAGTTACACATCATTTAATAGCAACCAAATGGAATTTGTTTATTGAGCATATTATTTATGCATCTCTTGAAAGCTAAGGCGCATCAAGACCATAATCAGTTTCACTTTGCTTATATTATTGCTGCATATCAGTTGCATAATGCAATGATGCAATTATTTATGGCTAAATTTGTTATAATGGGAAGGGTGACATTAACTAAACAGAAAATTTTCTTTTAAGTCCTGCTAGTTTATAGGCTAGAGAAAGAACTTTAGGTTCACCACTGATATATCTAATACTAAATTTTAATGAAATACTTTAAAATGAAATTTTGAGTTTTAAGACATTGTTCCAATTTTGTACATAGATAGATGATTTTAGTGCAATTATATGAGGAATACTGTGATAGTAACTTCAGGGTAGCTTTGCTTTTTAGATGCGTTTTGCATTGTGTTGTGTTTAATGTTCTTAATAGTTTGAAGTGTAACTAGTGTACTCTGTGATGCTGTGAAAACCTGTACAAATGTTTAAATAGAAAGTTAAAGTGTTCCTTTTGATAAAATAAAATTTATCAACCTATCATCGAATCTGTGTGTATTCAATCTGTTACACACACATGTGCATGCAACAATATCAAGTATCCAAGAGAAAAATATATAATTAGTTGTTTGTTGTATAATTTTTTAATTATATTTGGAAAATTAAGAATATTTATGAGAAAAAACAAAATCTATTGTTATATAGAAAAAAATTATGACCTTTACACATGTAATTTACTTAATCAATTGCAGTATAATATGGTATTTTTACAAACCTTAAATCATATCTGAAGAAATAATTACATGCTGTACAAAATCTAAATTCTGTATTCAGAAGAAATATATGCTTTACAAGAACTCCTATTTGCTAAGTGTATAATTATTTTTCATGATTATGGATAATTATGCAAATCATTATCAAAATCTGTATTTTTGTGTATGCATGTTCTGTCTTAGTCTTTCTGATTAAATTGAAATGCACTCATATTTTTATAACATTATAAAGATAATTCTTATTGTTTATTATCTTTTACAGCAACCAGCATGGAAACCATTTGATTATAAAGGGAAACAGCAGATACACTTTAGCATTTTAGAGTTTGTCCGATGCATGCAAGTATATAGCTTTTTATACTTTTCTTAAAACTATGTATATTAGTGCAATTATGTGCTAACATTAAAATTTTTAAAACTTGTAAAGTCGTTTTTATATTAAATGTTTTAAATAAATGCTCATATATTAAATTTTGAATTTCAGAAGATGGTTTGAAAGGATAGGAAACTACTTTCCTTGCTTCTTAAACTGCTCTTTAATCTTTATTTATTTATTAAGTTAATGTCATAAAATTTATTACTCCTCAAAGGAGGTGTATTGTTTCACTTAACACATAAAATTCTGTTCATTGCAAAGTAAAATCTATGGATACGATCTTGCAAACTGACAAAGAGAGTGGAAAGAAGATAGAAACAGTCATTGGCAAGTGTTGCTATAGCATAAGATACAAGTCCTTTAATTTATTCTGCATAAATTTTTTACATAAAAATTATTTTTGGAGTAATACCTTTCAGCAAAGTATGAGATTTTTTATTTATTTTTCCACTTTAATCAGTCTGTTAGTGATTAGCAGTTAGAAATTTAAAAGCGATAAACTTATTACTTAATAACTGAATTTTTTGAAATTTTTAAGTTTAATTAATATAAATTAAAATTGATTTAATTTATAATAATACAGCTTTTATGAACATATGCAGTTAATAAAAGATGACTTGTGCAAAACAAGACTTTTAATTTATCTGTCATATCCCCTTCACATAGCTGTTTCTCAAAGTGTTGCCATTCAGTGAAGCATAATATCTTTAATTTATCTTTTATTAATTAACATTCTGAGTGATTTAATAACTGACTATACTTCTCAATAATTTTAATCTTTTACCCTATTTAATGTATCTAATATAATAATTTAAAATAAATTTAATTTATAATATATTCTACTTATAATTTTTATGATCATTTTCATCTTTATAGTAATTAATAAAAGATGTTTTTAATGCTATATATTCTGCAATGGAATATAATGTGCTTATAATATTTCAGATTTTTAAAATTTTTTAATGGTAAATTCTTATTTGAGGCTTTATTTGCAATTTCAAGATAGGTTTTTTTGGGGGGTGGGGTATGTTTTTAAATATATGTTTCAGATTTCATGATTAAGCTGTATGTTCTGTAATGAAACACTAATTTTCAAGATGTTTAATTTTTTTTTAATTTTTTAATCATAGATTCTTCTTTGATATATCAACTTTATCAGAAGTTTTCAAACAACATTTTTTTTTTAATTTTGAATTTTCTGCATCTTTTTAATATATTCTTTCAGATTTAGTGAATAGAATACATTGTCTCTATTTAGAGTGATCAGGCTGGAAACATTTGCCATTTTGAAATATTTGGTCAAGTCACGGTAAAAGCAGATTTGGAAGGAGCTCTAAATACTGTAAGCATTTCTGTTAGCAGTTCTGATCCTGCCCGTCCTCTACTCTTAGACTCACTTGTTATTCATCCATGTGTGGAAATTCATTGTGACCCTTCTTCACCAGGTTTGCTACAGATTGCATTAATTTATAATATTTATAATTTTATATTTTTTATTTTTATATTATAATATTTTATAATTTCTTTTTTATGGAAATTTTACATCTTTTTCATTCTGAACTCCTTGATAGTTCTAATTTTAAAACAGAAGGTATAGAATGTTGTGATATAATCCGCTCTATTAACTTAAACAAATTAAGTACAGTGTACTCTCAATTTTCTGGCCTAATGCCAGGGAAGCAGGTCACGAATAATTGAAAAGCAGAATAATCGAAATTATCAGTTTTCATGTGCATAGCGTGTGTTTATTTCTTTACATAATCTATAATTTTACTTTGTATTTTGAGACCACTTAAATATTTGGAATTTTACTGCATATTTTACAAAGTGCTATTTTATCACTGCATTTGATTCCCCTTTGGTTGAAGAAGTCTGATAGAGTTTCAACAGAAGTCACTGCTGTCTCGAGTTTAATGTGTCAAGGGAAATTGCTGTTTCATGACTCAGTACATTCTTATTTTCAGTATCCCTCTCTTTCTCTTCTGTCTTTGTGACATTTGAAACTATATCCGCATCACTCAAGGATTGAAAGCCCAGCTCATTCAAATCGCCATCAAACCATTCCTTGATAATTGCCCAATTGACATTTTCGTAGAAGTTTATCATGGATTTTATCATTGCCTCACTCTGCAAACTGGATAATCTGCACATGGATAACTGAGAGTCCATTGTAACTAAATTAAATAACATTAACTCGAGTTGCATAAATAAAATTTTTTAAAAAAATTCTCTATATTTATTCTGTTTTATAATTTTTCATGTGTGTGGGAAAAAGTACAGATATGACAATGTAATTCATTGCTAACAATAACAACTGTTTTAAAAAATAATAATAATAATGTGATAGTATTAAAGCTAATTAATTCTGTGCATTATTTTTACATTGCTTTCAATTAAATGTCAAATATATTTATATTTTTAACTTTTTCATATTATGTATTTCATGTTTTAGTTTATTGTAGTAATTTATGAATTTTTATTTATTTTTTTAATTATGTTGAATCTAGTGCTGTGTAAATAATTTAAATACATAATATCTTAAAAAGCACAGTTGCTAGAAGAGTGTAGTACTTTGCATAAGTTCCACTTTGATATGGGTTTGATGAGATAATAAGATACAATACACTGTCTAGTTGGTATAGTGGTTAGCAGAGTCAACTGCGATGCAAAGAGCCCGGGTTCGAATCCCAGAAAAGGCATTATATTAAAAAAGTAATTGGGTTGATTGTAGTAGGTTTCTGTGGAAGGAAATAACACAAATTTCTGTGGTTTTTAATACAATACCTCTACACTGTAATTCTCACTATTTCTCCTTTTTTAATATTTTATCCTCGAAAAGTTCTTTTTCTTGACTCCCATATCATTTCACTGAATCACAAAAAGATAATTACATTATCCAGATTACAGATATGTATCAAAGAGGATTATATTATGCATTGTCTACCTTATTGAATATCAACAATGATGAGTGCATTATAGAAGATAAAATGTTTTTATTTTCCTGGAAAAATGTTTAAGGAAATGTTTTCTAGAAAACCTTTCTTGGGAAAATGCTCTTCTATTCTTTCTTATATATATTTTTTTTCATTTAATAGAAAAGGTGAAAGTTAGACTGGACAGCTTAGGAAATGCATGGCCTTTGTAAAAGTAATGTCTAAAAGAATCTTAAGAATTGGAATGGGATATCATTTATATCTTTGATAATGCTTCATAAAAGGAACAATTCATAAAACAGTGCAATGGTTGTAAATCATACTTCATTCCAGTTTTCCAGGCTACATTAACTATTATACTAGCAACAAGACAGTACAGTATTGCCTCTGTGTGATCGAATTTGTCTCAGATTTGCCGCCGAGATGGTATAAAGGTTAGGGGAGCCTGACTGCGATACTGAAGGGGCCGGCTCAAATCCTGGAGAATGCAAGGATGTAAAATTGTCTCTTCTTTCATAGGAGGTAATGGTGGCCGCCTATTAGGTGCCTTTACAATAAATTTCCACTATTTCTGGCCTTAGGAGTGGCCAATGCTGTTATAGGCATTTGGAAAAAAAAAAAAAAAAAAAAAAGTCTCATGTGCTTTTGTGATACTTTTATGCCCCAAATCAATTAGGTGAGAATCATCAACATTTCAGAAAATGGTTGTCAATAGAAATTGTCTTCCTTTTAGAAAACATCTCTTTGAAGTTATTAGAAAAATGACTAATTCATTGCTTTAATTGTTTTGGAATCAATATGATTGACTTAAATTTTGTCTCATGCTGTGAACTGAGTCCCAAAGTCTACTTTGTTAGATCAGAAACTCTGTATTAGCATTGTATCTTGTTTTTGGTTAGATTACTAGAGTTTACATGCAAGTTTCCTGGAAGTCAAATGAATGCTAAGTCCTATCCCCTCCCATGGTATATTCTTAGTTATGTTTAATCCTCATTGATTTGTATTAAATGCAATTTGATGCACCAACTAAATATTTCCAGTCTGTGATTTGGTCACTGGCCATTCTTGGCATGACTTATCTGTGATATTCATACTACTTTTGAATTCTGTTGCTCACATCTTCTCTTATTGTTTATGATGATGATTTTTTAACCCCATCACCATATCCCCATAAATCTGTTTTTCATCAAATCTTTTCAAAACAAATATTGGATGAGCTCAGATTCTTCTAATCAGTTTTTATTCTCAGCAATTGAGAAGAATGGGCTGAATGGGTTTTCTTGTATGTAATATAAATATTAAATATGAAGTCAGTTTCCCTTAAAATATCTTCCATTTCTATGGCATTCCTCCTGAGGCAAATTGCCTTTGAGTGCTTTGCTGCAATAAATTTCCTAACACAACCTAATCCAGCCAGTTTTCTTTTGTCATGTATTAGCTTTTCACTTCTCTTATATTTGAAAGTAGGTTTCTATTTTTAAATATAAGAGGCGTAATGGAGTAAGGAGAGTCATATATTGGTTCATCTGTACAAATTATTCCTTCAGAGATAAGTTCATTCTTTGTGAATTCATCATAGTATATTTAATATATGTTTTAAACCTGATAAATAAATGTCTACAAAGACAATAATATTCATAGCATCATCTTTATTGAGAAGATTACGGTTTTCACCTCCATTGCATGAATTTATTCTCTTCCATTACTGTTCTCCAGAACCGAAAGAACCTCCTGTTCAAGGAGTGTTTAAAATGTTGGTAAGTACACTTATTAATATTTTGTTGTTATTAATTTTAAGTAATTTCTTTTCTTTTTGATAATAACTTTGAAATTATCTCAACAACGCCAAAAATAATTTTTTGTAAATTTACTTTGGCTGACAGTAGTCAAGTATTAAGTAATATAAAGTGTTTCATTAGGTAGTGCCATTAAAGAATTAATTATATTTTCCTCCCATTCTGCATATAGGAACATAATGTTTTATTTTCAAATGACCTTGTGAGTTATGAAATATATAGTATTGATATTTATAAATAAAATACTGAATTACTGCCATATGCATGATATCCCATATGATCATGAAATTTCCTTCTACAATGGTAATGTAATCAAACATTTATAGAAAGCACATTCAACCCATGGATCACATGTGACATTTAGAATATATTAAAGTGGTTCATCTCTCTAAATTATAATAATAATATTTAATGAAAAGTAAGAATGTTTCACATTGAATTGCTGTTGTACTAAGGAAAGCAATTTCCATTCACTTCATGAAACCTCCTGTACTGTCAGAGGGCATAGTTGTATTTCCTTGGAACTACAATTTCTTACAAACACATTAATTAATTTAGCATAATTAGTAATACTAAAAACACAATCTAAAAGAAAATTATTAACAGTTACTGTCAAATTTACATTAGAAATAAATGTTATTCATGCACATAGTTCTCATTGGATTTTTCCAAGTTGTTATTAACACTGTTATAGTTAATGATCTCTTGATGCAGGAAATTTGGTCCTTGATACTATAAAGAGTTATCAACAATATTTTCTGGGCTCAGACCATGAGAAATTAGGTCAGCATGATTGTGCCAGGAAAAATCCTTAGTTAGCTCTTGGATATTTGACACGAATATCATTAGAAGATGAGGAGATGCAGCAATCCAGGCTAACACTATTGTTGAATCTGTGGACAGAATAACATTGTTAGTTTGTAAAATCAAACATGTTTTTACCTTGCACACAAGTTTGGAAAGGAGCTCTGCTGCACACAGCTCCAGAGGAGGAATGATTATTATTTTGATAACTGATACTCGAGATTTGCTACAAAGCAAAGTCACTTTAACTTTGCCAGTTTCAGAAACACAATGCAAGTAAATAACTCCACCATATCCAAACTTTGAAGCATCAGCAAAACAGTGGAGCTCAATTTTGTTAATTTTTTCTGTTATAGTGTAACAAAGGACCTTGATTTGTCTCTGGTAAGGAATTTTGAAATGTCTCTCATTCTTGTCGTTCTTTGAAAGGAAGTGGATCATCCCACTCTAGATGTAAATGCCACAGCATTTGTTGAAACATCTTAGCACACATGATTACAAGTCCTAGGAAACCTAAAGGATCAAACAGTTTAGCAGTATCTGCCAAAACTGAATATTTAGTACTGATATTAGATGAACTAAACACAGTAAAATTAAAAGAGTCTTTTCTTCTGGATTCCATCTTAAACTTAAAGTCTTTATGGTGCCTTGTGAAAATTCTTCAAAATGACACTCTTGTTTTTCGAATGGAACTTGTTCTAAAATAGTTCTTTTGTTTGAGCACCACTTGTGCAATTCCATTTTTGCAGATTGTAGCATGGCTATTAACTGTCATTGCAATTCTACAGCAGAGGTGATATCCTTTGTACCAGACAATATGTCATCAACATAAAAATCATTGAGTGTTGTTTCAGAAGCCAATGGACACTAATCTACCGCTAATTGCCTCAAAACTCTTATTGCTAAAAAAAGGTGCTGATTTTGTTTCGTAGGCTATGGTAAGTAATTGATAAAGTTTAGATGCATCATTTAATGTATTTTTCCAAAGAATGCACTGAAGTTTGCGTTGCTCAGGATTTATACGAATCTGCTAATATATTTTGCATATATCAGCAATGAAAGCCACCTTGTATTTTCTAAATCATAGCAGGATAGTGAACAAATCATCTTGCACCACACCTCCATTCATCAAGCAGTCGTTTAGTGAAAAACCAGACGAGGAAGGAGATAAAGCATTGAATACCATAGGTAATTTTGTCGTACTAGTCTCACTACATATCCACCCTCAATATCCTGGCGATGGTTTTTCTAACAATGATCCTCACATTCTACTTCTTCTTTATTTTGTATTTTAAGAGATTCTGTAACAGCCTCTATTTTCCAAAAAGACTTGATTAGTGAATTTAAGTTGTCTTCGACTTTCATAAATCTGCACTTAATCATATTGTCTGAAGTTGAACCAAAATTTACATCGCTAGCAATGTAGCCAAACATGGAATTTTGAAACGTTAAATTCGAATTTTGTGATTGAATGTGATCAGCCTTCAATATTTCATAAAAGCATTCTGCATGTAACGAGGCATCCATTTTCTGTGGTTTATTAAAATGAGTATCCACTAGTTTAATGTTTTGAGGAAGTTGTGAAAATAAAAAACTAAAATAATTCACTGGTACTAAATCATTAATTTTAGTTACAACAAAGAATTCAAGAGCTCTGTAGTAATCACGCTTGTTTGATATCACACCAGTAAGCTTGCATTTTACTGATAAAGTCATTCCATTTAAACATGAAATTGATATGTTAATTTTATTCCTTTTTATTCTAAGCTTATTAGCGAAATCATAGGTAAATGAACAACATTGACTTACAAAAGAACCCTTTTGTAGAAACAAGAGAAGAAGGCTGTCAAAAGAGCTTTAAGCAATTCTCGCAAGAGTCTTTAACATAAATAATCACAGTACATAATAGTACTTCCTTTGATATCACTTGTGAAGCATTTACAGACGAACCAATAAACTCTGAATTGTTTATTTGGTTGCAATTAGATAACACTTCAAAATATCTGGCATCAGCATTTATCTTCAGATTGTCTACTGAAGGGTGGCTATTAACAGGTCTTTCTTCCTTCCCACATGAGCCGCTATGGCAGCAGACGATTGCAAAATATCTTGATTAGGAAAATGCAGCAAAGTATGTTTTTTCATGCATTTTGAACAGCTAAATTCAGAACAGAACCTTTTTTCAGAATGAGTTGGATTAAAAGGCAGGCATTTAAAACATAATTTATATTTCTTAACAAATTCAATGCATTCATTTCAGGAAAGAATTACATTTATAAAACTTTTGAAAATTGTTATTTTTACAACAAATACATTTAAAATATTGACTTTTAACATTTGATGTCAAAGCAATTACCTTTTGAATAGGCTGACCCCTTTTTTGCATTAAATACATTAGATGACTGCAAAGTTCTAGCATGATGTTTTAGAAATGTAATAAGCTCAGATAATTTAAGTAGCTCATTTGTTTCCAACTCTCGTTTTCCAAAGACAAGTGGAAAGATCTAATTTTTGCAGCAAAATATATGCAAAAATTTTTTCTGAGAACCCCTCTATTTTTTTATCTAAAATTTCCAGAGACCTTACATTTTCATTCACTGTGTCTACTAATTTTAAAATAGAAGACGGGCTTTTACTTTGTATAGAAGAAATTGACATGAAACGCTGTATTTGAGCAAAGACCTGATCACGTTTATTTGAATATCTTTCTTTTAAAAGACCCCTAGCAATTTTGTAGTTACTATCACAAATTGTGATTGACTGAATAATCCTAGCTGCTTTGCCATGAAGGGATAACTTCAAATATGACAGCTTTTGTGAATCTGATAATGCATTACTATTATGAATACTTGAAATGAAAAGATCCCGAAAGCTTAACTAATCTTGAATATTTCCATTAAAAGATGGCAAGTTTAATTTAGGTAATTTTATACCTTGTGCACTAGTATTTTCAATCTTTAACACTAAGTTTTGACATTTGCTGTTTAACTTTAACCCATAAAGCAGTGCTCCGCAACCTTTTCTCATCTGCGACGCACAAAAAATCTTTCTGGAATTTCGTGGCACACCAAAGAGTTCCGAGTTATCAAGGAAGTGCCGAAAATTCAAATGCTGCTACACTTACAATCACGCACACAACCACACAACAGGTAAAATATATAAAAACATTTAAAATAGACATTATTAAGAAAAAAAAATTGTCATTGTGTATTAAATACATGATAAAAATTGCAAAATGTCAAATACATGTATTTGATTGCGGCACACCTATATCCTACTCATGGCACACCAGTGTGCCGCGGCACACCGGTTGCGGAGCACTGCCATAAAGTATCAAATGTTTTCTTGAACAGTTTGCTGTTCAGTCACATATTTATCAAAATATTTCTCATCAATTACTTCAAATAATTTACTAAAAATATCTGAACATTGATTGTTAAATTTTGCCCATTTATTTTCAAAAAGCTCAAGCACAGATGCATCACAAGTAGACTTTTCTAAATTAGAAGTAGCTTTCATTATGCTAGTTTTTAGAGTTCTTAATCCATCATTAAAGTTAATTAATAATACAGAAAGTATATGAACAGTCACTTATGTCCTAATTCCAATCACACTGGTTGTTCTGAATATTTTGACAAATGCGAAGTAACATATCACATTTTCTATCAATTTAATAACACTTTAAATACTAATTTTCCTCCAGCTCAACGGACCAAAATGTTCGAGAATAGAATTAATCACACCAAATATTCACGAAATTCACAAAATGTACTAGATTCTCTTTAATAGTACTTCTGTTAACAGAATCACATACACATATATGGGAACTTTATGTGTCCTACTCGAATGGACACACTTGCCATCCACAGCTTAACATGTATATCACATAATCAGAATTACCAGCACACAATCAATGGCGGCTAGCTTTTCGCCTTATTCTTTTCTACTCGTAGGTGCCAGATCCACACGTAGGTAATATTCAAACATTAAATCTTGGCGTCACTTCTGTTTTCTTGGGCTTTAACAGTGATCCTATATTTTATAATATAATAATAATTATTATTATTGGAAAGGTTAGATGCATGTGAATACATATATAAATTTTAATATAATTGGAATAGCTTTATTGTTTACTTATGACAAAATGCTTTGTAAGAGGTTCCAAGAGTAATGATAAAGTTTTTAAAAAAATTATGCTCCTCATATGTTATTGATGTTAACATTATTTTATGTTTAAGGGAGAAAACCCAGTGGAACTGTTGGTGCAGTTAAAACTGAATGAATATATGAGAAACAATTTTGAGTTTTTTGATGTAATAATTGCATTTTTCAATCGGTAAGAACTGTAACCAGTATGTATAAAACACAGTATTACTGATATTGTGTAATTTACAAATTTAATAGTCTGCTTGATGTTATATTTAGCTTTAAAACATAATGGCCATTTTTATAATTGCAAATAATTGCCAGACACAAGAAAACTATCTTGAACAATATTTTTGTGCAGCCTACTTACTACAATATCATGTTTTTAGAGGACCCGTGAAGAGCATTGATTTTAATATTAATTGTGGAGCACCAAAATTGTCTGAAGATAAACATACATTAAAATGGAGCATTGGTAAGCTTATTTTATCTTTCTGTTTTTATTATTTGTCTAATAAAGTATAAAAGTAAAGCTCATCTTTGATTTTTTAAGAACATATAAAGGGTGAGTTAGATATACTTGTGAAAATAAAATGCAATATCTTTTTAGTGTTGTACATAAGTAAATAAAGCAAATTTTGCTTGCAGACATTGTACTGTTCTTCAATGATGAATACATCCTTTGTAGATTGCCGCTGTTGTAATAAACAAGCAAATTCATTCATTTATCTTAAGATCTTACTAGAAATAAAATTCATCATTTGAGTTTATTGTAAATGCATCTCAGAAAATGTTTTCTACACAGTATGGGGCTGGCCAACCTTTTTGAGTGTAAGCTTTTTTTAAAAAAACATTGTAAAAAGCTGTTACTGATGTCAGTTAAGTTTTAAAATCATGTCATGGCAAAATAAAATGTATATATTAGTTTGAAACCTAACAGATGAAGGAAATGAAAAGAACTGTAAGCAACATTTAACATCCACAAATTCTACAAATGTTGCCACTGCACAAAACTTTTTAAGACCTTTAGTTTACCTTCCATATGCCCTTGCTCGTAGACAGTGAGCTACTCAACAAAACATGAGATCTTTAACTTATCTTTCAAATTTAATTAATTTGTTATTGAGTAACAGATTATGCAATTTAAAAGCAACAAACGTATCTCATAAATAAAAATGAGTAAAAATATATTTAATTTATAATATCAGGCTGATAGTTTTATGAACCTTTGCAGCTTTATTATTAAGAAAATAAATCTCCAGTCATGTATTGCATAACTGATACAAAATACTTGTTTCTTCCAATTTTATGATGTTTTTATTTGTTTAACACAAATTTAGAACAAAATGCAACATGGAATGGCAGAAAACCCATGTATTTAAGTAAGAAAAACTCCACTCATTCCCTATGGTTTTTGTTATCTCATATAGGAAAGTGTTAGAAACTGAGCTCTAAGTGAAAAGAAAAGCATTTGTACATAATTTACCACTTTATAGAGCCAACTCACTAGTTATTTTGAAGGGGACACGTTTTTTAACCTTAATATTTAAGTGCTATTAAAAAACAGTGGTATTTATTCTTCTTCTGCAAACAAAATATCAGGCAGGGAAGGTGAGAAGTGACTACTAAACCAGGTTAAAATTTACCGATAAACCGAGCCCTGTCCTCCCTTTTTCTGCTGTGTTCCTTAGGGGAATGACTAATATAATCATATTCACACCACTACCTGGTTAGAGACATAGTCTTCTCCAAAACTAATTGCATCAACTGCTTGCATGTTATAAGCCATTTTACACAAAGATAGCTTTTTTTAACAAAGTCACTTCCATACTATCGTGACACCACCTCACCTTTAGCACCATTTCACAACCAATGCCATTAAACATTTATGTATATACCAGGGGTAGTAAAATTTCATAACAATAGGAGCCACATGTTCGACTTCGAAAAAGTTGAAGAGCCACAACTAGATTTTGCAAAATGAGCAAGTCCATATTTATATCATTTTACATATAACTAAACAGTTTTGAAAGGAAAGTATTTGAAGTAAATTAATGAGAATTTTGTTTTTATGTAATTGATGTGATTATTTATAAACATGCATAAATAATTCATATTCATGAATAAATGTTTGTATGATATAGAAACTTCAAACTATAATACAATGAAAATGACCATGTAAAGTCTACACATGAATCTCTTAAGATTCTTCCTAAGTTGAGACTATCTGCATGGACAGCATTTCTCCTTCCTTCTTTCCTGAAAGAAATTTCTTCATCAGCCACTCAGGCTAACTTAGGACTGAATAAGATGGCAAAACAACTTTTTGCTTGCTTTTAGGGCTATACCAATGACTCATATGCTTTAAAAGTAACATGGTTACAGGTAGTAGTCCAAAATTATTTGCCGTTTTGTTTGTTACTTTGAAAGCGGATAGTATAAAATTAATTCAAATACTAAAAACATAATGTAATTTTTAAAATTAGAGCAATGATTGATAACAAAGCATTTCATTGCATGATTCCTGTTTGAAAATTCAATTAAATTTCAAAAATATTGCAAGCAAGTTACCTTAAAGGCCACAAGCAGCTAATGAGTTGCAGTTTGGCCATGACTGCTATATACTTTCACTAGTCTGCTATGAATTCTGCCTGGTTCATGTTTTTCTGCAGCCAAAAAAATAAATAAATAAATAAAAATAACATGTTGTTCCTATCTATCTGGTAATGATTGTGTTATCATTTTGTGCTTTTCATTTTTGAACTCTATAAGACTTACTAATCATATGCCTTTATTATAGTCTTTATATATCATTACACTAAACATGGGATTTCACAAGTGCACTGCTGCAATGTCTCTTGAATGGAAACATGTCCATTACTCATATGACCTCAACTTAAAAAATATGCTATTTATTTAATAAAAATATCTTTTGTGCACTGTTTTTCATGTGCAAAAAATCTATAAATAAATTTAAATCATTAAAAAATTTATTTATGTTATGCAGGTACGAAGTTCCCAAAAGATCTCGAAGCAATGATCACTGCAAAATTAGAATTCCATGACAAGCCAATTTTACGTAATAGTGATCCTTTTTGCGTGGACAGAAATTGCTATGCACAAGTAATTAATAATTTATTGCCAGTAATAATTATCTTTATATAATAATGATGATACAAAATATATATTATATAATAATGATGATACAAAAGCTAAATATAATTTTAATTTTTTGCGTATTCACATTTTCATTAAAATTGTAAATTTATGGGCTAAATTTATCAGATTCTTTATTGAGTAATCTGAAAGTATTTCAGTATAATTTATCTATTGAGGTACTCTTCTAACTGTAGAAAACTGCAAGGTAATGAAGCTAAAAATTTATTATTATTCCATGTTTTTGTATTTATTTAAAATAATGCTGTATTAGTTTTTTTTTTTTTTTTTTTGAATTTTCTACCTCTTGCATGAGACTTTCTTCTCTACTTTCAAGTTAAGGATGTTGGAAGGTATATACATGTGTTGGAAGGTATATTCATGTGATAAATTACCAGATATCAAACCCTAGGATTTACATTAATTTTTGTGGCTGATGATGCACATTATAATCATGTTATTCTTCAAATTTCAAAGCCTAGGATATACATAAATTTTGCAGTCAGTGATCTGCATTAGCATTATAGTTATTACTAATTTTTTGTATGTATGAAAACTTTCATGATTCATCTTATATTATATTGTAGAATTTTATTCATACATTCACATAGAACATTCTGATAAAATGTGAAAAATGATATTTTTTGCCTAAATTCTCTGTAATTTTAATATTAAACCTGTTTAAGCATGAAAAATAATCTAACAATAGAAATTAATCAGAAAAATCTGAAAATTTGGGGACTTATATAAATCATATAATATATGTGAAAATAATATTAAACATTCCCATCACAGTAAAATTAGTGCTGTAATTATAACATAAATACTTTGGATAGAATCATTCACAATCTCTTCTACTTTTATAGTGATTGACTTCTACTTTTATAGTAATTTGTTTTAATTCAAAAGTTTAAAAAAGTGGATTAAATATACTCCTGTACTCATATGTTCACAGAAAACACATGTCACATGCATAAAACTTGAAATACTTAAATTTGGCTGTCAGAGGCCATATTGTCAACAGAAGAAATGGATGACATTCAGGCACCATAGATTGAATTGTAATGCAGATGAGGTTATATTATCTTTCAACAGTTCAACATGATGTCACATTTTGAGTAAAGAAGCTTCGGTTTGGGTGCGTGTGTGTAAAAAAAAAAAAAAAAGAAAAATGCTTCCCATCAAGCCATAACCATATTATTTGCCAGATTTCTTATCCTCTGGCCCAACTGTTCTTTCGTATTATGGCTGTTCTATTATACAGAATGATATAGCAGCTAACTTAGGATAGATACTAAAGAAGACATTCTTTCACTACTTCTAAGAATGTCTGAAACAAATACTCATGTTGCAATAGATGTCACTCTGAAGTTAAGTTACTAATATTTTTTTATATTTCTGCCATATGAGCAATTTCTGAAAACTTTTAGAATACTACATGTACGATGAAACAGATATATAATTATTTTAATGAGTCCATCTAGTAGTTAATAACAGAGATGAAAACCTGTGTGTATTGATTTTTAAACTATTTAATTTATTCATGAATGATAGATTAAATTTGAGAGAAAATTAAATATTTTATGCTTTGCTGAATAGAAGACAAAAATATTTTATTTTGGGCAGTAGCAAGATATTTCTTTTAAATCATTGAGTTTTCTGATTAAGTGTGGAATATAAGTACCTTAGAATTTGCTTGAGTTTGTTAATAAAAAGTTCATTAAATTTGCACAAAATATGAAATAAACCAAAAATAAATTCAAGTTTCAAGATGCTCATGTTTTGGGTGGTGGACTACATGTGTTCAGAATTGGGTGTTGCCATTTTACTGCAATGTGAGAAATATACATATTTTTCATTATTTAGTAAGAGACATTAAAAGAGAAACAACAGCATTTGCTAAGAGAACATAAGCATCAGCTGCCTAACTGGGATAGTAGTAGTATCTCTGACTCCCTTACTGAAGAGCTTGGGTTCGAATCCTGGAGAAGACATGGATGTTTGTAAATGTTTATTGCGTCTGGGCGGCATGAGGACACTCAAAATATGTGACGAGCAGAAAGCCCTCTTGAGAGGTTGGTTGTAGGAGAAAAGTGGCGGGAGATACTCATACCTGTTTTTCTGGGGTGATGTCCATCAAAATTGGGGATGGAATTCAGCAAAGTCTTACTGTCACCTGAATAGAGCCTAAGGCTGTTGCCAATCACAGGCACAATATTGTCTCCTTGCCACGATGAATTTTGTAGGCTTAGTCTGATCAGTCTGACAAGCAAGATCAGTCATAGCAACACATAAGCACCATAATTATTTATTGGTATACATATTACAAATATTAAATTAAATACTGAAGATTAAATTTGTGAATTTTCTGCAAGAATGTAATAAGCATATAAATTTAGGCTTTAGTGTTTAATATGAGAACATAACTTTCTTTTTTATCTTTTTCTGCAGAATAAAATAGTTTCTTTGCATGTGCGTAGTTAATGATAAATAATGGACATGGAATAAATTTGTAGAATTAAAATACTGTTTAACCAATAATAATAATTTTATCATTATAAGCAGCATTTAATTTCATGGTTTATAAAATATTTTAATATTAAACTATGATATTTATTTCAGATTAATTTCAAGCAAAATAACACAATTCTTAGTGGATGTGTTATTGATCCAAAAAATGTCACTTTGTCTCAAATGAGCAAGGCAAAAATCATAATAGGTAAATCACTTTGCTCTGAAAACAGTTAGAGAATTAAAATTTTTGAAGTTTAGTTGAATAAATGCTTTGATTTTTTATTGCAGATCGAAATGTTCAGTCAGCAGAGTATCGTATATGGAATATGTATGGAGATCTGCCCTTTCCTGTAAATATTTCTAATAAATGCAAAAAGCTTTTTAATTAATTAATTGTTTGTAGCATTTTTTTTTTTTTTTCTAGTTTTATATACAGTACAAAGTCTTTAAACCGGACTCGTCGGGACTTCGGCAATTCTGGATTACGGGTTTTTCCGAATTATAGATCATCAATTTAAATCTGGTAAGATGGCATGCAGAAATTATAAAATTAAAAAAAATATGAAACCATAATTTATGAAATAAAGAGCAATTATGATCTAAAGCAGTGTTTCCCAAACTTTTTTGTGCTATGCCCCACCTAATCCTCTCTAAAACTTTTAAGCCCCCCCTAGCATATACATAATTTTTAATATTTAAAAACTGAAATTTTCACGAAAGAAACTTGAATGATAGCTTTTAGGAAGAAATGACTACGAAATTTTATGAGCAAACACAGTAAGTGAACTTTCAAAACACATGGAGAACTGAAATTCAAGAAAAAACTCATTTTAGTGAAAGTTTTTTATTTTAAGTATTAGTAATTTTTATTATTTAAATTTAGCGAGTTCCTTGCGCTTGATACTTGCTGCAAAGAAATTTTATGTCAGATTCCAATTTAGATAACTTGAGTCTTAAGTCTCCCGGTTTCATTATATCCAACCGATATTTTTTTTTTTTTTTTTTTTTTTTAAAGCAGCAAATCATTTATGGCACTAAATCCGCATTCAGTAAAATATGAAGATGGAAATGGTAACAATACTTCTTTTGCAAATTTTGTTGCATTTGGATATCTGATACTGGTTTCCTCACAAAGCTATGTCATCGCTCCTTTTATATTAAATAAAGTTTCAATTGACTCATCATTTTGCATTTCTGTGAGTTCTTCTTTTTACTGCATATTTGAAATGTCAGCCAAATCCACTAGCATTGGCTGCATCATCCAAGTTGGAAAATCAATTTGTTTTAAGTTACAAAATCTTTTAAATCAGTCGATAAAATTTTAAGATGATCGACAATAACAAGTATAGTGGTAGTCGCGTCACATTTTTGGAGCCAATGAGACTTTTCAAACTTTTTGTGGTAAATAGTATATGCCTGACATAATTCAACAAAGATAATGAAACCAAATATCTTCCTTTTGCATCATAAGTTTTATTTGACCTTGAAGTTGTTTATTTAATATATTTAATTTTTCAAAGATCTCAGCTAAATAACTCACAATTGCCTTGTTATCATCCATTAACGGATTTTTCATTTCAGGTTTGTCGCTTAAAAAATAACTAAGAGTATCAAATAGTTCCATAAATCTTTCTAAGCAGTTCCCTTTCGACAGCCTTCTTACTTCAGTGTGAAGTACAAGTCTCATATAGTCTTCATTTTGTTCTTCATAAAATAACTTGAAAAGACATTCACATTTGGCCCTAGCTTTAATAGCATTGATACACTTTATAACTAAACTTAGTACTTCATTTAGAACAGGCGAATTGTTTTTAGCTACCAGGTTTTCTCTACGAATAACACAGTGCACAAGAAGCCTTTCTGGATTCTCATCTTCTATCAATTTTAAGCAACACTTTTCCTTATTCTGTGCTTTATTTTTGAACTATCATATTAGGAGCAACATTTGCAGTACAGGATGTATTATATTTTTTTAGCTTACTATAAATATCTTTGGAGGTAGTGGTGCTTTCTAATGATTTACAGAAAATTTCTTCGGCAAAATCCCCTTTATGAATATATCTTACGCAAGTTACAAGTACGGCCTCACTGTCTCTCAAAGTTGGTTCATCCATTTGCACCGAAACTTTTCTTGTTTTCAGCTTTTCAACAAGTTGTATTTCAATATCCTCACTCATTTAATCTTTTCTCCTGCAAACAGTATTGTTATTTAGTGGCATAGCTTTAACGTCTTTGTCATCTTTTTATAGAACAGTTTTAAATGCTGATATTGATGGCTTGATTAAATTCTCCCCTATGGAACGGCTTTTCACAGATTAAGCGATGAGTAATGAAATTTGATAAATAGCCTCAAGAGCACGATTAACAGTTGTATTATGAGCAGTAAATAGACACTTTAATATTACTCTTTTTTCAAAAATTTTCCTTAAAGTGTGAAAATAATTCAAATCTAAATTAATATCAGCATTATGTTTCGCCTTCAAATGTGCCTCAAGCGACCTAGTTTCATTGATTTGTTGGTCAAGCATCATTGGCATAAAAGGACAAAAGTTGGACCGGTATGAAACCAAATTTTAAATATGCTAAGCATGCGCAGAAAGTATGTAGCTTTGAGGTCCGGATTATAGATCATTGTGGATTCTGGACGTCCAGATTAAAGACTTTGTATGTACAATTTATTAACAATACAAATTCATCATAAATAACATTAGGTTAACTTCTACATCTTGAATGCAGCGAGACCTTGGTTCACAACCAAAAGAATGTTCTCCCTTGGAATTAATATAAACAAATTTATTCATTCATGACCTCTGATGATTGCTTATTTACTCTGTGACATGGCTTTTTTAATTTGCTCCTAATGGCCTGTATTTAAAAAGAATTTATTAGCTAAATTTGTACAATTACTTATTTTCTGTTTTCATATACTTCCATACATTAAGATGATAAACAAATCGAATACTGATGAACATTTTTTCTTGCTTGCACCCCTCATTTCACTAAGGGCTGAAAGAAATAAATACAAGATCAATATAAACAAAGCTGAAAGCAGCTATTGTTGCCATTTAAGGAAAGAATAATATACCAGTTGCCATTCCTACAGTAAAAAATAAATTTGTTGGCTGAAGTGTGCGAGAAACATCTGGAAAGCATAATGTGTCAATTATTTAAATGCCTTTAAAAGCATTTAAATGTCCATGTCTACAGCGAGAATTCTTTATAAAATATTTAAAATGCACCACAATTTAAAAACTTTTCTACGTATACATCACTTACATTTTTCTTTATTTTGGCGAATAAAACATGAAATTTCGAAAACTTTTTACTTCATGAAACATATTTAGAAAGTCCTTTGTCCCCTTAAACTCTGCATGAATCCATTTTCGAATTTCCTCCCTTAACAGTCGCATTGCCCCCTTGTGGGGCGTGGGCCCTACGTTGGGAAACATGGATCTAAAAGGTATCAAAATTTACAAAAAAAAAAAAAAAAAAAAAAAAAAAAAAAAAACTTAATATTTATTTGTTTACTTTATTAAACATTTCTTTCAATGTAAGTTGTTTAAGTTGCTTCGTTTTATGTGCTCATACTTTCTCTTTAATTCTATAAACAGCCATAATTTCTTGTTCAGTTAGCTAGTTTTCTCAAAGTTCCGCTGTTCAAGTCCTGCAATTGCTGTCCCAAGAATACCAACCAACTTGTCAATTGAAATTTTTTCGTTTTCCCTAACCTCTTCAAGTCTTTATCCATTTTTTGCAGAAATTCCACTTTTTATTTGATTGAACATTGAAACATGCTTTCGCTGTGTAGATCCTTTGGCAACTCCAGAATCGGAAACTCTTTTTGACATAATCACAAGTTCAAGCTTACTTTTTATAAAATTGCTCTAACAGTCTGCAAAAAATAATAAGCCGGATCCAATTAGAAGATTAAGGAACAACGCAATCATCAACACTAACTGAAATAGATAATTAGATAATTTTAGCCTAGCTTATACCGTTCCTATATAGTACATTAAACGTGCATGCGTAAGCGTATTTTGCGCATGCGTAAAAGCTAAGCATGCGCAGAAAGTATGTAGCTTTGAGGTCCGGATTATAGATCATTGTGGATTCAGGACGTCCAGATTAAAGACTTTGTATGTACAATTTATTAACAATACAAATTCATCATAAATAACATTAGGTTAACTTCTACATCTTGAATGCAGCGAGACCTTGGTTCACAAATTTAGTTCATTCCCAAAAGTCATTCGTCAACCAAAAGAATGTTCTCCCTTGGAATTAATATAAACAAATTTATTCATTCATGACCTCTGATGATTGCTTATTTACTCTGTGTGACATGGCTTTTTTAATTTGCTCCTAATGGCCTGTATTTAAAAAGAATTTATTAGCTAAATTTGTACAATTACTTATTTTCTGTTTTCATGATAAGATTCTGTTTTCATGTTTAAGATGATAAAGAAATCGAAATATTTCAAATTATACACTAATATAGTAATCTGATAAAAAATTCTCATAACTAGATAAAGGCAATCATGCTACTCAAGAAGTTAACAATCTGACTGCTCACAAAATTGCTTAAAAAGTTCCTTATTTTTTAATTCATATTTGAAATCTACATCCGATTCTCAAAATTTACGCAAATATATGAATTTAGTGAACAACCAACCCCATATGTTGAATAAAAAGGATTTAAAATCTAAATATAGCACTATTGACAGTTAAAAATTGAAACAGTGTGATACTCTTTTAATAGATGAAACAAATCCATGCCTGTGGATGTTACAGAATGAGCAGATTTTGCTACATTTATGTTGCCCGTGGAAATGACGGCATATGCAGCCAAGAGAGGTAAACTTTATAATAGTAATAGTACACAAGTACTTTGTGCACAAGTTCAAAACCATTGAAAACCTTAAATAAGAAGCAAAAATTATAAACACAGATTTATTTAGCAGATAAAAATAGGCAAAAACTTAAATTGTACTATATGTATAAGGAGACTGGATGACACAAGCAGAAAATGATGAGGAAGATGTAATTGTTTGAATGAATTGCCAGAAAACCTCGGTGTAGTCCAAGCATTTGCAGGAAAACTATCACTAGCAGTGATGAGTATATTATTCAGATGTATAGCTGTTACATCAAAAACTATTTTTAATTAATTACATACTGTTTCACCTCTTGTAACAGTTTCCAAACATCTGGCAAATAAAAGTTCTTGAGAAATCTTTTCTCCTTTTACAAATCTCGCATAAGCTAAAGGTAAAGCTTCGTTTCCTGGCAAAGTTGACCCCTCAAACTTTGTAGAGAATTCAGATGTTTTTAAGTACTCACGTCAAGAATTTTCAAACGAGCTCATTTTGTCAATCCTTCTTTGTACTGTATTA